TGCCCAGCAGTGTCACCCACCTGTGCCCATTAGAGCCCACCAGTGCCACCCACCATTGCCCATCAGTGCCAACCAGTGCCACCCATCAGTGCTCATCAGTGCAGCCCAACAGTGCCGCCCAGCAGTGCCACCCATCAGTGCTGTCAGTCAGTGCTGTCAGTCAGTGCCCAGCAGTGTCACCCACCTGTGCCCATCAGAGCCCACCAGTGCCACCCACCATTGCCCATCAGTGCCAACCAGTGCCACCCATCAGTGCTCATCAGTGCAGCCCAACAGTACCGTCCAGCAGTGCCACCCATCAGTGCTGTCAGTCAGTGCCCAGCAGTGCCACCTATCAGTGCCCATCAGTGCTGCTTATCAGTGCCCATAAGTGCTGCCTATCCATGGCACCTCATCAGTGCCGCCTATCAGTGCCGCCTATCAGTGCAACCTCATCAACACACATCAGTGAAGGAGAAAAATTACCTGTTTGCAAACTTTTATAAAAGAAACAAAGAAAAACTTTTTTTTTTTTTGCTTTTTTTTGTTTATCGTCAAAAAATAAAACAACCAGCGGCAAGTAAATCCCACCAAAAGAAAGCTCTATTTGTGTGAAAAAACTATACAAATTTCATAGGGGTACAATGTTGCATGACTGCGCAGTTGTCATTCAAAGTGTGACAGTGCTGAAAGCTGAAAATTGGCCTGGGCAGGAAGGGGGTATAAGTACCCTGTAGGCAAGTGGTTCAACGAGTTCTTGTTGAGTAACAGCATGAATTCATCCAGCATCTCAAAGGTACCTGTCCAGATGACAAAAATATCGTCAATATACCTGAACCAGCAGAACTCATGGTCCAGGTATTTGACAAGAGTGTCATCAGAAAAGATGTAACGCTCCCAGCCTCCAAGATATGAATTGTCATAGGCTGGGGCATAGCTACTCCATGTATTTGAAGATAATAGGAGTCCATAAATGTAAACCAATTATGAGTCAGTATGTAGTACAGTAAATTCACAACATAATTGCATAGTGCCCAATGTGTACGGTCCTGCTCCATCAGGAAGGATCGTATTATGTCTATTCCACGTTCATGTGGTATGCTTGAGTACAAACCCTCAACATCTATGGTAACCAATATGGCATTTGTTTTTGTTTTTGTTATTGCTGTAATCCTAATCATCCTGTAGCTTATGTCTTGTTTATTTACGCTATGCTATTTTGGTATTATGCTATGGTAGTGCTTACTACGATATTATCAATTGTTTATATGTGTCTTTGTTGATTGTATGTACCATGCTGCTGTTGCTCCCCGGCCTCTAGGGATTGGACCTGTGTTTGCTCCTTGATTTCTGGTGGGTGGGAGTTGTCCTATTTGGGCCCGATGTGCTGTCGGGTGGCCGCGGTGTGCCCCGCCCCCTCCTGGGGCCAGACTCCCACGGCTTGGCTAGAATTGGCCTTGCAGACCTGTTCCTCCTTGTGCGCATTAGCGGGTCCAGCCCGGCGCACCTTTCTGGCGCATGCGTGGCTGTGCCGCGCCGGTGCCACCAGTGACAGCCGGAGGAGGTGACGTCACACACTCTGACATGGGATGCGCTGCGCTGGGGCACTTTATAGGCCACAGTTCGGCGCTTTCGAGTGCCATTCTTTTTAGGGCTTTCACCCTGAGGGATATCTTGTCATACGCGCTTCCTGGCACCTGTGCTATTGCCATCTTTGCCAGGGCCTTTTCCCTGGAGGACAATTTTTTGTCTACTCTATCGATTTAGTGCCGGTGCATTCCAATACTTGTAAGACATTTATTATGAATCAAGTGGATGATTCTACACCTCCTTAAGCATCCATAAGATAACTGTTTCTTTTTCTGTTCTTGTCTATGTTCCTAGGCCCATTTTCAGCAGGAGGTTGGGATCAAATTTTATTCTTCCTGCATACCTTTGATGGGTTGGCCCTGGCACGTCTTTTGAGTTATACTATTGAGATTGAGGTTCGCCTATTTTACTGTAACTTGGTAGGTTACCTTATCTTATGCTGCTATATAGCCGGTAGCCCTGGGGGATGGTCCTCTGGATAAGCATTATACACTAATGATATCTATTATATTATAGGTAGTTCCATCACTCTTCAAGCTTATCCTAGTGTGGCACCTTTTCTTTCCTCCCTTTCGGATGCTATCCCTCCCCTTTATCCTGCCAAGGCCCTGGGATAAGGTTCCCCTTTTGCAAGGAATTCTGGTTTTACCATAACAACACTTTGTTAAGGTAACATACAGCTAACTAGTATTTTTACCACTGGTATGGTTCAATGAAGAAGGGCATTTGCAGTTTACATATTTTTGCCTGAGCCCCTCAACATTTCCTTCCCTTTTCTTCCATTTCTCTTTCCTTATTGGCAGTCTGAGGTTTCTCAGGGCTCTGATTTGTTGGCTACTACTGCACCCCCATACCTGGCCCCCTGGACGGCTCTTTGCCCCGTGGGAATGTAGAGGAGGCATGCCTTCTGCAACTGGAGGGTCTACCGCTGCCTGGTGCATAATAACATTTTATGTAAGTCGTAGTATATTACTGTATGACCTTTTTCATATTTACATGATGTGTTTCTGTGTATATTTAAATATGCATTTCTTTTAGATAATACTACTTGCCCCTGAAGAAGCGATTGTTTTTGCGAAACATGTTGGGCCAATTCTCCAGTGGCAGAATGTCTCTCACCCCTCCATAGGATCTTCCTGGTGGTTACAGTATGCTTTATCACCGGTTTTGCTCCTTACAATATGGTGGGCTTTGGGACATTGTCTGCGGGGACATTGTACAATGATCTATTAACTGTACAATGTTTTTTGTGAAACACTGTCAAAATAAAGTATAAATGATCTTATCAATATGTGTATGTAGTTTCTGTTCCCTTAAAGTCCATTTGTACTTCCTCTTTTCTTTTTTGGCTAAACCAGGACGTGGCACTAGTGTATAATTTCTTGGGAGTGACCTAGCACCCGAGGGTACTCCAATTTCTCTTTTTTACTATTGGCAGGCTTGGTTGTACTGAAGTCGATCCATTGATCCAGCTGATCCATTGATTTAGCCTGTCTGATTTTTTTTCATACGATCACTGCCAGAGGCTATAACTGCCAGCAGTGATCACTGTGTTCTGCCAAGAGGGAATGCCCGCTACTGGCAGAACACAGTAGCATTGCAGGAGGGATTCTCCTATCTGTGTTGATGGAAGAATTGAGGAATTTTCTTTCCTTCCCCCTGTGGTGGGTATATTGTGAACCTAGCCTAAGTCCTGTTTTTTTTCCATAGCCAAGTGGTAAGAGTGTGCAGATAAGTAAAATAATGAACATATGCAGTATAATATGCTCTTGTTTAAACTCTAATTTTATATTTGTGGGCAGTCGATGTGATCAAGTTATAGAAACTGGTACAGGCAGGCTGGTAAACTAGAGTTAACCTACAGTTTCCATTAATAGAGATAAGCGAGCACTGAGAGTACAGCAGGCATGTGAATTGCTAATTCACGTCATACTATGGAGCAGTCTGTAAAACAAAAAAAAAAATATTGGAATTTTTTTTACTGGACAAACTTAGCTGAACACATTGCTCTAATAAAATGCAACCTTATTTTAGATGCAGCAAACTTAAAGTATGCAAAATCTCAGTCTAAAATGTAAAAAAAAACGTAGATGTTACTTATCAATGAACCTTGAAAATGTATGCAAGAGTCTTGATGAAATTAGCTTAGTTGTGTGATGTGTACGTATGTACTCTGGGCATGTTTGTGGGGTCAGTGACAACACTCTGTATACCTCAGAGGAAACCGAAGCCAGATCAAAAGTTTGATGTTAATGGAGGTATCCGCTTCCAAGATACACTATGGTGTCCGTTTATGAACCAGCGGTAAATGATCGCTGCTCAGTTCACAGGAATTCTCGGAGAACACAGTTCTCCTGTGAATGCCTTTTATGAAGCGGTGTAAATCAGTTCTCCGAACGAAGGGAGAACGGTCTACAAATGGTGGAAAACAGCTGCTTTTACTATAATCTCACGAGATTACAGTAAAAGATCAGTTTACTAAGCAGAGGTAAATTATCGCTGCTTAGTTTGTGGTTCCTCCGATTCTCCAGCTCTGGGCTGGAGAATCTGGAGGGAGAACACAGATCTCCAGCGAAGAGCTGAACATGTTCTCCGCTTATCTCCTGAGTGTCATAAACTGTGAATGACCAGAGAATAGCTGCGATCCTCTGAATCGCAGCTATTCTCTGTGTCATAAACGGACACCTATATTGCCAAAAGTATTGGGACGCCTGCCTTTACACGCACATGAACTTTAATGGCATTCTAGTCTTAGTCCGTAGGGTTCAATATTGAATATTTAACCCTTTCCCCCTTTAACAGCTTCAACTCTTCTGGGAAGGCTGTCCACAAGGTTTAGGAGTGTTTCTATGGGAAGGTTTGAACATTCTTCCAGAAGCGCATTTATGAGGTCAGGCACTGATGTTGGACGAGAAGGTCTGGCTCACAGTCTCCGCTCTAATTCATCCTGAAGGTGTTCAATCAGTCTGAGATCAGGACTCTGTGTAGGCCAGTCAAGTTCCTCCACCCCAAACTCACTCATCCATGTCTTTATGGACCTTTCTTTGTGCACTGGTGCAGTCATGTTGGAACATGAAGGGACCATCCCCAAACTGTTCCCACAAAGTTGGGAGCATGATATTGTCCAAAATCTCTTGGTATGCTGACACCTTAAAAGTTCCCTTCACTGGAACTAAGGGGCCAAGCCCAACCCCTGAAAAACAACCCCACACCATAATCCCCCCTTCACCAAACGTTACACTTGGCACAATGCAGTCAGGCAAGTACCGTTCTATTGACAACTGCCTAACCCAGACACATCCATCAGATTGCCAGACAGAGAAGCGTGATTGGTCACATCAGAGAACACATCTCCACTGCTCTAGAGTCCAGTGGCGGCGTGCTTTACACCACTGCATCCAACACTTTGCAGTGCACTTGATGATGTAAGGCTTGGATGCAGCTGCTCGGCCATGGAAACCCATTCTATGAAGCTCTTTACACACTGTTGTTGTGCTAATCTGAAGTTTAGAGGTCTTTAGATATTGACTCTGCAGACAGTTGGCGACTTCTGCGTATTGTGTGCTTCAGCATGCCCTGACCCCCGCTCTGTCATTTTACATGGCCTACCACTTCATTGCTGAGTTGCTGTCATTCCCAGTTGCTTCCACTTTGTTATAATACCACTAACAGTTGACCGTGGAATATTTAGTAGCAAGGAAATTTCACAAATGGACTTATTGCACAGGTGGCAACCTATCACGGTACTATGCTTGGAGTCACTGAGCTCCTGAGAACGACCCATTCTTTCACAAATGTTTGTATAAGCAGTCTGCATGCCTAGGTGCTTGATTTTATACAGCTGTGGCCATGGACGTGATTGAAACACCTGAATCCAATAATTTGGAAGGGTGTCAATACTTTTGACAATATAGTGTATGTTAGGAGGTCAGCTATCCCCAGAAGTCCAAACTATGATGTGCGTTGACATTAAAAGCTGTCTCGCCACTGTCACCAAATTAGCTGCACAGACCTGTCATTGGACTTTCTAGTATGTAATAAATGAATTAGTACACTATAAATCAGGATTTACTCTTTACTTTTAAAGCTTTAACTGAATTCTGTATCTTCTGTAGAGATATATTATCAATGAAGAGAATGAATGGAAGTGGGTAGGGTGTATTTCTATGGACTATTTTATTTATGCTGTAGTGTGCGTTTGTGATTATTTGTTATATACAGTACATATATGTATGTTCCTTAAAGTGGTTGTAAACCTCAGACATGAAATATGAACAAAACATATCCCTCTATGGTGTGTACTTGTCTCAATTCAGAGTGCTAAGGTGTCCTTTTATCATCAAGCGGTAAATGACCACTGCTCAGTTCTCTGGCATTCTTACAGGAGACAGTTCTCCTCTTAATGCCTGTTCATGAAGCAGTGTAGATAGCTTCTCCTAATGAGGATAGAAGCGATCTATGCTTTGAACTCTAGGAAACGGCTGCTGTTACTGTAATCTCATGAATTACAGTAAAATCAGTCAAACACACAGTTTATTAAGCAGTGGTAAATTACCACTGCTTTGTTTTCTGCTCCCCCAATTGTCCACCTCTGGGCTGGTGAATCTGGAGGGAGAATTTTCACACAGATCGCCAGTGAAGGGTTGACATCGCTCCTTCATGCACCGGCCATTTTTTTATAGATTATCTGTGTGCTGAGATGATCAGCGGAGAACATGTCACCACTGATCATCTCTGTTTCCTGAACCACTAATGATCTGAGATCAGCAACGATCCTTAGGATCGTCTCTGATCTCTGTTTCATAAAAGGACACCTAAGTGTCATTTCTGTCTGCTGCTGCATTCCCCTGCTATCAGCAGGATTCACTTCTGACACGTTTTCCTGACACCAAAAGAAAAATGGTGACAGGGGAGGGACCTCCAGCAGATTGACAGCCTCAGCTCTGTTCCTGTGAGCTGTGTGTGGGGGAGTGTACCTCTTCCCTCCAATCAGCTCTCAGAGCTCTCCTCACTGATGTAACTTCAGCTCTCCACCCCCTGCTTTTCAGAGCTGAGGGATCTTGTGTAAATTCTGCACTTTGAACAGTATCCCATAGTTTGTAGCCACTATCATTAACTTTCATGCAAACCAATTATTATACACATAATGGGATATTTTTTTCCAAAGACATGTAGCAGAATATATTTTTGGCCTAAATTTATGAAGAAATTAGATTTTTAACATTTTTTATTTGATATGGTTTATAGCAGAATAAAAAATGTTGTTTTTTTTTCAAAATTTTTGGTCTTTTTTTCTTTATATAATAAAAAATAAAAAACCCAGTGGTGATCAAATACCACCAAAAGAAAGCTCTATTTGTGCAAAACAAAATGATAAAAATTCTATTTGTGTACAGTTTTGCATGACTATGCAGTTGCCAGTTTAATTAGCACAGTGCTAAAAAATGGCCTGGTCATGAAGGGGGTGAAATCTTCTGGAGCTGAAGTTTATTATACATGTTTTACTACAAATGGTGCTACAACTTTCATTTTATGATTTTTATTATAAAATAACATTCCTTGATTCTTGAGTTCTCTTTAATTTTTTTTTTATCAGTATGAAAGAAGAGAATCTATAGTCTTGTTAAAAATATAAAAGGTATGTGTCTTCATAAACACCAGGAGGCAGATGCAGTATACAGGCTACTTTATAAACTCAGCTGTCAGGGTCCATTACTGACAAGTGGCCTTTATTAAATGGTCCTGTAAGAGTGTAGAAAGCTGAGGTTCCATTGCTGGATTCTCAGTACAGTGCTATGTAATCACATCTCACAGGCATGCCGCCTATACTGTATCAATATCATTTTGTATCAAAATGTTTTTACTTTATGTATCCAAGTGATTTGTTTACTCACACTGTCAGACTTGTAACTATTGTGATTATTTATTAGGGTCATTTCACACCTCTGCACTTAACCTGTTGGCGCACAGTATGCAAATATGCTGCACTCCGCGGCTGGGTTTTGACGCTGAGCGGTCGCATATTCGCATGCACACTGCACACTCCCGGCACATTTACCAGCGCCTCACAGAAAGGTCCCAATCATTACTTGCGATTGGGATCTTTCCCATCATGTGACCACTGTGACAGCCAATCACGGCAGTCACATGACCCTAAACGCCACCTCCTGGCAGTAGAAACCTCTTAAAGGGCCAGGAGGCGCCAGCGCCAAGGGGTTAAAATGTGGTATGTGTTTTTCAGATATGTATATTGTGTTTTTGATGCATTTTCAATTTGTTTTTGGTGTGTTTTCTGGATTCCTGTCTCACAGTATGCACCTGTAAAACTTGGACAAGTGCCTCAAAAAACATACTAAAAATGCTCTGTTGCATTTTGGATGCGTTTTTTGGTGCATTTTATATACAAATCAATTGGAGGTGCGTTTTTGGTGCACTTTTGACAAGCGCACCAAAGATGCAGCAATGTGAACGGTTACATAGGGTTTAAAGGGGAATCATTTTCATGCACTTTTGTCGCACTGGAATGGTGAATTTTAGCACAGCAGTATGAAAGGGCTCTTACATCAGTGAATGTAATTCAGTGATAGCTGACAGACTAATTCAGTTATAAAGTTTCCGGTCAAATGTTGTCAACCTTTTCCAGTCATGTCATCCTTTAAAAGTATATAAATCTCCAGGCACCCCAGGTGAATTGGCTATTCTGGAAAGATTGGCCTTCATTTAGTAGTTAATGTTAATGTATATCTTCAGATTTTTATATTCAAAGGAAAACTGACCCAAAATAGTAAAAAAAAGTTTTACATATTGTTTTATATTTCTATGCCATTACCATGACTCTCCACCAAACCCCCCCCCCCCCCCCAAAAAAAAAGAACACAAATTCATCTACTCCTGACATTCATGAGAATACATGTGTGCATTAACAATGCAAGCAGTGCCCTGATTATCAGTGTAGCCCCATCAGTGCAGCGTATCAGTGCCACCTATTAGTGCCACCTCATCAGAGCAGCCTCTTCAGTGCCTCCTCATCAGTGCCCATCACTGCTGCCTCACCAGTGTCCATCAGTGCAGCCTCACCCGTGCCCAGCCATCAGTGCAGCCTCACCAGTGTCCATCAGTGCAACCTCATCAGTGCCCATCAATGAAACCTCACCAGTGCCCATCAGTGCAACCTCATCAGTGCCCATCAATGAAGCCTCATTGTTGCCCATCAGTGCAGGCTCATCAGTGCCCATCAGTGCAGCCTCATCCACATCCATAAGTGAAGAAGAAAAATCACTTATTTGCAAAATTTTAGAACAGAAACTTTCTGTCTCTTTCCATTTGTTTGGCAAACATTTAAAAACCCAGTGGTGAATAAATACCACCAAAAGAAAGCTCTGTCTGTTTAAAGAAAATGATAAAAAATGTCATATGGGTGCAGATTTGCATGACCTCGCAATCATCATTCAAAGTGTGACAGCGCTGAAAATGGAAGATGCTGGTAAAATAATGATAAAGCAAGGTGGAGAGCAACCATGTGGTTTTGGGGGTTGGGGGGGTTATGGTTAAAAGTGGGTGTGGTCATTAGAAACCCATCCAATGAACTTAATCTTGCAAATCTAGTAATCTTAAAGCTTAAATGGTTTGTCTCACCTCTGTAACTGATAAATCCTGTTGTTACTGGCCAGATCACCAGGTGAAAACAGAGGGAAAAAAAAGCCCCCCTCCACCAAAAATAGGAAGCCACTATGTCTAATGAATGGTAAGTTGCAATATATTAAATTTTTGCTATTGGGGGCACTTGGCTGGGGGGAGAAGCCAGGACCGCTGGTGGGGAACTCCAGAAGAGGAGGCTTGGGGCTGCTGTATGCAAAACCTCTGCACAGACCACGTAAGTATGACATGTTTGTTATTTTGGTAAAAAAAAAAAAAAGTACCTGTGAAAACACTTTAGGCTCCATTCACACTTGTGCAACTTGTCATGCGATTTTGAGGTTGCACCCCATGTTTCCAATGAGTAGCATTCATATCTTTGTGACTTCAAGTCCCATTGACTTGAAAGTAGTCCCTGCACTACTTTGGTCCGACTTTCCCATGACTTGAGGGCCATAGACTTCAATGAAAATCCTCCCAAGTCATATGAAAGTTACACCTGAACATTATGTATGCGACATGTGTATGACTTTGTAGAGCGCAAACAATCATCCTTGGTCAAAGCCAAAATTTGCATTAAAGTTGCACTCATCCAAAGTCCCATCAAGTTGCACTGTAAAGTCACAATGAAAATTGCTCGATTTTGAAGTTGCACAAGTGTAAATGGAGTCTTAATACTGTTTCATAGTAGTAGTGAACATAAAATGCTATAGACACTTTCTAATACAGGTATAACAATGCGGGTACCACAGCTGCCTTTGCTTTGTATCAGAAACAATCTTCCTTAATTTTTTTTTATGAGTTCAAAAGTTCTGTCATATGACCATGCA